CATTATTCCAACACACTGATGAAATGCACCAAAGTATGTCAGGGCCACTAAATCCATCAGTGGGAACAATCAAATAAAAATACACATATTTTTAAACTTTACTGTCTATATTAACATTACTGTTGAACTTTACCTGGTGTTGGTTTCACTCCTTGGACTGCTTTTCCTGAAAGACAAAATGGGTGATTAAATAAAAATATATACTGGTATTTATCAATTTTATACTATTTGTTACAATCAGCAATTCCAAATCTGAAGCCCTAGACCATGGAAACCACAGCTAGGTTATAGAAACCGCACCAGGACCATAGAAACTGCACCTGGACCACAGAAACTAAAATATACCATCTCTACAGAAAGCTCTCGGTCCATTTATCCAACACAAAGATGAAATGCATCAAAGTATGTCAGGGCTATTAAATCCATCAGTGGGAACAATCAAATAAAAATACACAGATTTTAAACTTTACTGTCTATATTAACGTTACTGTTGAACTTTACCTGGTATTGGTTTCACTCCTTGGACTGCCTTTCCTGAAAGTAAGACAAATGGGTGGTTATATAAAATATATATTTATCATTTTAATACCATATTTTAGGATCAGCACTTCCAAATGTGAGGTGCCTAGACCATAGAAACCACACAAGGACCAAAGACACTAAACCTGGTCTATAGAAACTGCACCTGGACCATAGAAACCACACCAAGACCACAGAAACCAAAATACACCATGTCAACAGAAAGCTCCCGGTCCATTTATCCAACACAAAAATGAAATGCATCAAAGTCAGGACTACTAAATCCATCAGTGGAAACAATCAAATAAAAATACACAGATTTTAAACTTTACTCTCAACATTAACATTATTGTTGAACTTTACCCGGTGTTGGTTTCACTCCTTGGACTGCCTTTCCTGAAAGTAAAACAAATGGGTAGTTAAATAAAATTATATATTTGTCATTTTATTACAATATTTTTGGACCGGCACCTCTAAATCTGAGGCTCCCAGACCATAGAAACCACACCTGGACCAAAGACACCAAACCAGGACTACATTATAGACGCTGCACCTGGACCATAGAAGCTAAAATATATCATATGTACAGAAAGCTCCCGGTCAATTTATCCAACACACTGATGAAATGCATCAAATTATGTCAGAGCTACTAAATTTATCAGTGGAAACAATCAAATAAAAATACACAGATTTTAAACTTTACTCTTAACATTAACATTATTGTTGAACTTTACCTGGTGTTGGTTTCACTCCTTGGACTGCCATTTCTGAAAGTAAAAAGCAAATGTGTGGTTTAATTTTTTTCCCCTTTATCATTTTAATACCATATTTTTAGGATTAGCTACTCCAAAGCTGAGGCCATCGTCCTCAGTTGAAAAACAGTGGACTGCCCTCCCCAGATTGGGGGTGAGGTTCTGCCTCTAGTGGAGGAGTTCAAATTGAGCTTGACGGATAGATCGGAGACGCTTCCACCGTTAGGTGGACTCTGTTCGTCTGTTGTGGTGAAGAGGATGCTGAGCTGCTCTGTTTATCAGTCAACCTACCTTTCTGTGGCCACAAACTCTTGGTGGTGAACGAAAGATCCAGACTAAGGACACAGGAGGTATGATTATTTTTCTCAACAGGGAAGCTTGGACTCTCCCTTAGACATAAGGTGAGAAGTTCAATTATCCAGGAACGACTCAGAGTAGAGCCGGCACATCGAGAGGAGCCAGTTGAGGTGGTTCAGGCATCTGGTAAGGATGCCCCCTGGACGCCTCCCTAGGGAGGGGTTCCAGTCATGTCTAACTGGAAGGAGACCATGGAAGACCCAGGACACACCAGAGACTATAGGCTTTTTCAGAAGACAGTTCTGCGAAATGGCCACACAGCCCATTGGGTGTTTATGCTCCTTCTGGAAGTTCATAAATAATCGATGACGCCGCTCCCTTCCCGCACTCAAATGAGCTTTCAGAGTGCAGCAAGACGAGTGGAATCAAGAGGCATGAAAAAACTTAGCTGCTCTCACGGGTTGTTCCACTCAAGCTGCTGATGAGAGCAACAGGATTCACTGAACGGCTCTTGCTCCGTATTACGTGCACAGATCGAAGTACATCCGGTCCATCCGGCCACGACCACTTCGAGCATTGTGGTCATTTACTTGGTGGAATTTTCTTTTCAGGGTTTGAATTCAGAAATAACCTGACTCTTGTCACCATTGTATTTGCGCTCCTGCACTTTTTGCTAGTCTCTCCAAAAGCAACCGGTCCGTCACTCACTGTGCCATTAAAGTTTGTATTTATTTCCTCCTCGGTGCGCAGAGCAAGGAGCTCAAGGGTCTCGGTAAAAAAAAAAAAAAAAAGACACACCAACATAAAGTTCAAATCCGAAAGGAGTCCGGCTACTGCGTTTTTACTTTTAAGCCCCTCGGCTGGGTGGTCGCCGAAAACGTCAATCAGCACTTGGTCACATTATCGTAATCTAATCAGCTGGAGCCATAAAGCTGGCCCACCTTATCAGAGGTTGTTACGGGCCAGTTACCACCTCAGCGGGAGGTAAAGACACGATACAGAGGTAGGGTGTTTCCGTCCCCCCATCCTGACCTCAAGCTGCTGCCCCAGGACCCGAATCCACAACAAGCAGCAGACAAGTACAGCAGTATTTTAGTATTTGTGTACTCTGAAGAACTATTAAAATATCCGAATACTGTAATAAATGTGCTGGTCATAAAATTAGAATATCATGAAAAAGTTAATTTATTTCAGTAATTCCGTTCAAAAAGTGAAACTTGTGTATTATATTCATTCATTACACACAGACTTCAGGTATCTCTTGTAAATGAGTCCTGGAGGCTCAATGGGATTTACCTGTCAAAATAAAGGTTGAATGAAGTGACTGATAAATTTCAAATCTTTATTTTAATGATATTATAACTGGCAACTAATGAAAATCCCAAATTCAGTATCTCAGAAAATTAGAACATTATTTCAGACTAATTTAAAAAAATGATTTTTAGAAATCAACAATTTTCAGTCAGGTCCTCTGGACAGTGTCTTTTTTTGCTGAAACGTTTCACCTTCCATCCGGAAGGCTTCATCAGTCAAGGAAACACACAACAAAACTTTTTCCTTTTTTTTAAGAAAGGTTGGCCAACTGAAAAGTATGAGCATGTTCAGCATCAATACTTAGTTGTTGCTCCTTTTGCCTGGATCACTGCATCAATGCATCGTGGCATGGAGTGGATCAGTCTGTGGAACTGCTCAGGTGTTCTGAGAGTCCAGGTTGCTCTGCTAGTGGCCTTCAGCTCTTCTGAAATGTTGGCTCTGACATATCACATCTTCCTCTTCAATACTCCATAGATTTTCTATGGGGTTAAGGTCAGGTGAGTTTGCTGGCCAATTAAGAACAGGGATACCATGGTCCTTAAACCAGGTACTGGTAGCTCTGGCACTGTGTGCAGGTGCCAAGTCCTGTTGGAAAATGAAATCTGCATCTCCATAAAGTTGGTCAGCAGCAAGAATCATGAAGTCTCTAAAACTTTCTGGTAGATGACTGCGTTGACCTTGGACCTCAGAAACCACAGTGGACCAACACCAGCAGATGACATGCCCCCCCTAAACCATCACTGACTGTGGAAACTTGACACTGGACCTCAAGCAACGTGGATTCTGTGCCTCTCCTCTCTTCCTCCAGACTCTGGGACCTTGATTTCCAAAGGAAATGCAAAATGTACTTTCATCAGAGAACAGAACTTTGGACCACTCAGCAGCAGTCCAGTCCTTTTTGTTTTTAGCCCAGGCGAGAGGCTTCTGACGCTGTTCAAGAGTGGCTTGACACAAGGAATGTGACAGCTGAACCCCATGTCTTGCATACATCTGTGCATGGTGGTTCTTGAAGCACTGACTCCAGCTGCAGTCCACTCTTTGTGAATCTCCCCCACAATTTGGAATGGGTTTTATTTCACCATCCTCTCCAAGGTGCAGTTATCCCTGTTGCTTGTACACCTTTTTTTTTCTACCACATCTTTTCCTTCCCTTGACCTCTCCATTAATGTGCTTGGACACAGAGCTCTATGAACAGCCAGCCTCTTTAACAATGAGCTTTTGTGTCTTGCCCTCCTTGTGCAAGGTGTCATTGGTCGTATTCAAGAGTTTTGAGTTATTTAGCCGATTAGAGTGTGGCACCAGGTGTCTTCAATATTGAACCTTTTCACAATATTCTAATTTTCTGAGATACTGAATTTGGGGTTTTCATTATAATCATCAACATTAAAAGAAATAAACATTTGAAATATAAAAGTCTGTGTGTAATGAATGAATATAATATACAAGTTTCACTGTTTGAATTGAATTACTGAAATCAATCAACTTTTTTATGATATTCTAATTTTATAACCAGCACCTGTATTTGATCCCTGCAGCCCTAAAGTTGAACACAAATCCTGTAAAACCAACAAGGCAACAAAATACAGATAAGCCAAAGGGAACTAATACATTTTTAAACTTTTGTCCGTTTTTGGATTTCTTGTAACTTTGAAGTTTGGTTGTGAGTTTTTATTTTATTTCATAATTTGTTTAAAAAAAAATCCTGGTAATTTCAGAGTATTAAAGGTTTGACGAACTTGAGGTTTCAATGGGTTTCCTGGCCAGATTGTCTCTGCTGGTCGACCTCTTTCGATGGGGGGTAGATCGCTCCGATGATGTTTTTCTTTCTCGACTTCTCCTCGGAGAAGGCAATCTCTCCTCTCTTCTCCTGAATAAAGATAGAAGAAGACGGGAGGGGTCACAGGGGGGGGGGGGGGGGGGTAATACCAAGGAGACAAAGAACAAGACCGGGAATTAATGGAAGTATTTTTAGAGATGCAAACATCTACACATCACATGAATTTTCACCCCTCAGACCTGAAGCTGCTTTCTGTCTTTTTTTCTTCCGTCTTCGTGGAGTCACTGTAGCGACGGGAGCGACGGGGACTGCGGGAGCGGGATCTGGAACGAGAGCGGGACAGGCTGGCGGATCTTCTTCTTTTCCGATGACGCCGTGGGCTGAAAGAGCGGGATCTATCTCTGGACCTGTCCTGCCTATCCCTTGAGCGAGAAGGGCTGTGTGAACGGGAACGGGAGCGAGAGCCATGACCAGGTTTAATAATTTTACTCTTTACACTGGAGGCAGTGGTGAAACTGAAGCTGAAACGTTTAGGGGTCGAATCTGTCGGACTGAAAACAGAAAGAAAACAATTTAAACGTTGAGTAAAACTGTCAAGATGCCGAAGATGCTGTGGCTGAGGTTTGTCTGAAAACAAAGAAATTTACCTTGATTGTTTATTCAAATCAGGATATCTACGGGGAGAAAACATATATGAAAATTATAAGATTTTTAAAACAGCAAAGTGACCAAATGATAACAACAGAGGAACAGCTACAAATAAAGTCCCGTAAACCACTGCTTCTCAAACTGGGGTCCCCAAACCCTTGGGGTTCTGTGAGCCAGTGCTCGGGGGTCCGGAAAAAAATTATATATATATTTTTTTAATTTTTTTTTTACAAGCATGTAGATGTTTAACAACCCATTTAAATACACCAAAATGCAGGAAATCACATTTAATTTATTCAAATTTTTCTAAGGGAGGACCCTCACCCCCGCCGTTTGTGTTCCGGCATCAATCGATCGGTTTACAGATTAAGCCCCATTACGTACGACTACAGCTGTTATGAATCCGTTCAGTTTTATTACTAGAACCACCTTCTTCCACTAAAATTAGAAACATCTGAACTAAAAATGATGCAGAAAAACTGGTCCATGCATTTGTCCCGTCTAGACTGGACTAATGCAACGGTTTATTATCTGGGTGTACAAATACGTCTTTAAAACGTCTTCAGTTGATCCAAAATGCTGCTGCCAGAGTCTTAACTGGAGTTACTGGGAGAGATCATATCTTTCCAGTTTTAGCTTCTCGCCACTGGCTCCGTCAAATCCAGAATAGAATTCAAATTCTTACTTCTAACCTACAAAGCTCTCAACAACCTAGCTCCATCTTATATTAAAGATCTTATTGTTCCATATTTTCCTAACAGAGCACTTTGCTCTCAGACTGCAGGATTACTTGTGGTTCCTAGAGTTTCCAAAAACAGAATGGGAGGCAGATCTTTCAGTTCTCAGGCTCCTCTCTTGTGGAACCAACTTCCTGTTTCTGTCCGTGAGGCTGACACATTATCCAGTTTAAGACTTTCCTTTTTCATAAATCCTATAGTTAGGCTCGGCTTGTTATGCTGCTATAGGCTTAAACTACTAGAAGACAAATTGACCTCATGTCCTTAAATGACTTGTTAAAACTGAAGTTTTCATTCGATACTATTTCTATTTTAAAATGTGATTCTTGACCTGCCATTGTGTATCTATTCCTCTCAAACCCAGCCGGTCGAAGCAGACGGAGCTTGTCCTGAGCTGGTTCTGCTAAAGGTTCCTTCCTCATGAGGGAGTTTTTCCTTTCCACTTTCGCCTTCATGTTCAAGATGAGAGTTCTGTGATGGAGTTAAACTCAGAGCTGCTCCTCAGATAAATAATGTTCAATTATTATTTTTATATATGAATGTTTCTGTTCGGTCCCTGAGACGACTTGTGTTGTGACTTGGAGCTAAATAAATAAACTGAATTGAATTTTAAGTAGTTTTCTGTATTAATTTCAATAAGTGGTGAAACATTTAATATGATGATTATGTGAAGATTAAAGTGTTTTTTGATCCTGTTAAATTTCTCAACACTGGGGGTTCTTGAACCCAAAACGTCTGAGAACCCCTGCCCTGAACTGCGAGTTATCTTAACAGCTGAAATTTGCTGAAAGCAGGAAAAGTAGAGAAACAGCAGAAATGTAGACGAAGCTGAAAAGAACCTAATTTAGCAGAACAAGCTGAATAGATCACAAAAAGCCGAAATTAGCTCAAAAGGAGCTTATCCAGAAGTCACACATTGGCAACGTTATAATAATTCCAACTTAACGTAAAAGAAATGTTTGTGAGAAAAGAGGAAAACACTGACTCTTTCAGGAAGTTCGTGACGTTCAAAACGTGATGGCGGGATTTGCAATGGGGCTCCCACTCCTGTTTAACCAGAACAAACAAAACCAAGTTTGAGAGCACGCTGTTGATGAGTCAACTGCAAATTAAAGCATTTAACCAAAAACACACAAGTAACTCAACCGTAAAAACCTAAGAATCTGATCGCACTCCAAGTTTGTCCCGTCATGCTAAGTAAAAAGCTTTCGATTACATGACGGCGTTTTATTCAATAAGACAAAGACAAAAACACAAATCAAGCAAATTTAATTACATCCGGCACACTGGCAACAGAATAAACAAATTAGAAATAACAAAACAGCAAACACGAGTCGTTCTGTTGGCAACAATGTTTTTATGCATTTTGCGACGGCCCGGTCCTCGGTTTGTGTGGTCTCGGCATTTCCTCAGGTTTGGCAGGTTCGAAATCCAAGCAGGTTCAGATCGGGATGAAAGAACATACAACCTGAGACAACTACAACGGGAGTTAGGGTAGCAAGGAAGAAAACAGGAGAACAGGTAGTTTGTTTTTGAGGTGCCGAACGGTGGAATGGGCTGTTCCAAAAGAAGGAATATCAGCTTGGATAGTTAGGTTCTACTTCAAAACACAAAAAACACTATGTTTTTATTAAAAATAAATAAATAAATACTGATTATATATATTTATATATGCACACACATTATGAAGAAAAGTATTTGATAGGCCTGTCACAATAACTAATTTTGCTGGATGATTGTCTCAGAAAATATTGTGATAAACGATAATATTGTTTGAAATTTGACAATAATTAGTCATTATTGTCAAATTTAATAAGAAATGTTGGTTTAATTTTGTGTGTAGTACCTTTTTTGACCACTGATGGCAGTATACGACTGTTTGAACCCAAGGATGGATCAAGGGAGCGAGCAGCGTCTCTTTAAGAAAAATGGGAGGGAGGCCCCTTGACGTGACATGGGCTGTCTCTCCTTCCTGTTTTTCAACTCTCAAAATGGCGTAAGTAAGAATTCTGTCTCTTACAGACCTGTTAGCTTTCCTTTAAGAAACCCTTCTATTCTGCAATCGTTGCCTGTAGTAATTGCACCTGCTTGAATTTGTTGCCTGTATAAAAGACACCTGTCCACACTCCAACCTCTTCACCATGGCCAAGACCAAAGAGCAGTCTAAAGACACCAGGGACAAACTTGTAGAGCTGCACAAGCCCGGGATGGACCACAGGACAACAGGCTAGCAGCTTGGTGAGAAGGCAACAACTGTTGTTGCAATCATTGGAAAATGGAAGAAATACAAGATGGCTCAGTCCATGCAAGATCTCGCCTCGTGGGGTAAGGATGATTCTGAGAAAGGTCCGGGATCAGCCCAGAACTACGCAGGAGGACCTGGTCAATGACCTGAAGAGAGCTGGGACCACAGTCTCAAAGAGACCCATTAGTAACACACGACACTGTCATGGTCTAAGATCCTGCAGGACACGCAACGTCCACCTGCTCACACCAGTAATGTCCAGACCTGTTTGGAGTTCACCAATGACCATCTGGATGATCCAGAGGAGAGATGGATGAAGGTCATGTAGTCAGATGAGACCAAATAAAGCTTTGTGGTATCAACTTCACTCTCTGTGTTTGAAGGAAGAAGTTCAACCCCAAGAACAATGTCCCAAACGTGAAGCATAGGGGTGGAAACATGGTAATTTGGAGGTGCCTTTGAGCAAAGGGGACAGGACGACTGCACCGTATTGAAGGGAGGACGGATAGGGTCATGTATTGTGAGGTTTTGTCCAACAACCTCCTTCCCTCAGTAAGAGCATTGAAGATGGGTCGTGGCTGGGTCTTCAGCATGACAATGACCTCAAACACAGCCAGGACAACTAAGGTGTGGCTCTGAAAGAAGCATTTCAAGGTCCTGGAGTGGCCTAGCCAGTCTCCAGACCTGAACCCTATAGAAAATACAGAACGACGGCTCAGTGGTTAGCACTGTTGCCTCACAGCAAGAAGGTCCTGGGTTCAATCCCCAGTTGGACCTGGGGTCTTTCTGTGTGGAGTTTGCATGTTCTTCATGTGCTTGCGTGGGTTTTCTCCGAGTTCTCCGGTTTCCTCCCACAGACCAAAAACGTATGTTAGGCTATCTTCAGGCCCAGGCCTCCCTTGTAAAAGAGATATGTGAGCTCAATGGGATTTGCCTGGTTAAATAAAGGTTAATAAATAAATAAATAAAAATCTTTGGAGGGAGCTGAAACTCAATGTTGCCCAGGGACGGCCCCGAAACCTGAAAGATCCTGAAAGAAATGTGATTTTCTGGATTATTTTCTTACATTCCGTCTCTCACAGTTGACGCGTACCTACGATAAAAATTACAGACCTCTTCATTCGTTGTGGTTGGGAAAACTTAGAAAATCGTTTGTCTATCAAATACTTGTTTTCTCCACTGTATATACCGGTGTGTATACATAGACATGAGTTTGATACCACAAAAAAAAAAAAAAAACTGCCAATTACCAAAATACAAAGATGCAAGTTAAAAATAACATGGAAAATATCTGAAAATGCCTAATTTTGTATTAATCAAATGAAAATGTCAAATGATGAAAAAAAGATCTAAACAAAGAGCGAAAAGACTGAATTTGTCCTCTTACCGCTGCTTTGAAACATGTTGTGTCACACTGCGTGCAGACATGTGGAAACTTTTTCGGTAGGACCCCGGCGCAGTCTCTAATCTTGCACCCAGGCGGAAGCCTCTTTTTGACCGTCACCGTCCCAACAAAAGACTGCCCACTGGTAGGAGGCTGCACAAATGTAGAGACTGTCGCTCCACTTTGGGCTGGCTGAGAAACACCAGGTTGCATTTGTTGCTTCGTTGAGTCCGTTGTATTGTTTTGTTGACTCTTCTGTTCCCGAGGTACCTGCTTCCCTTTGTCCTGCTGCTTTGATGCGACTAACTGTTCTCTGTGGAACTGCGGACCGGTTGGTAGTGACATTTGGGAATCTTGCTCAGGCTTTTGCGAAGTCATGGATTTAAGGGACTCGGACTTGTAACCTTCTGTGTCTTTCTTTAAAATAGGGAAAAGGGTGAAGGTTCTTTTGGGAGCCTGTCCCGGTTGGGTCTGCAGTGACCGAGTTGGATCACTTGATGAACTGACACTAGGAGTTGACCCCATCTGGTCAAGTGAAGAAACCATGGCACCACTCTTCACCTCTGGCGTACCTTTTGGCGGCTGATCTTTGAAACGTCTCGGTTCGATCTCACCACTGATAACTCTACTCGTCTTTTCAGCTTGTTTCCCGGCCAAAGTGAACTTCCCTTTGTGCCCATACTCAATGACTTGACTTATTTTTAAAGGGTTTGGGGGCACAATTTCCTTGCAAATCCCTGTTTGTCTAGTGCTACTCGACCTATCTATCCCTGTAAAACTGGGGCTGGGCTGGGGGTCGGAGTAAGGTTGCGTCGTAGTAGTTTTCTTCTGTTTCTGCAGGCAAATCTGCTTCAAGATATTAGGCAGATTATCAGAAGTGAGCTGATCCTCAGGATAAGAGAGGAGTAATTCCAAGTCGTCTTTTTCTAGACCATAATCCTTGAGGATGGTAGCAGCAACTTCAGCAGTGTACTTGGGGGTACTGGGCTTGTTGCGCTGCTCTGGTTGTTCTGGCATTGGATCACTGTAACTGCCTGAACCTTGAATGGACTGTCTGTCATGTTGTCTTTCAGTGGAAGGGAAAATATTGTCACTGCTACCAAGGAAGTCAGACGAAACAGAGGAATCAGACTTTGAAGAATTATCCTTTGTGGGTTTTTTTAACATTTGCAACCAGTTCATGGAACTGCTGCCACTCTCAACATCGGACACCCTACGTCTGTCCACATCCGGGTAGGACAGCACTGGTTCGCTTGGAGGAGAATATCGTTCGTCTCCTTGAGTGAAGTGAGGAGAATCTCGTTCGTCTCCTTGAGTGAAGTGAGAAGGAGAATATCGCTCGTCTCTTTGAGTGAAGTGAGAAGGAGAATATCGCTCGTCTCTTTGAGTGAAGTGAGAACCGTGACCTAAAGACTGATGCCTCACTTCCTCTCGGGCTCTGCTCAAGTACTGGTCTCCAGAAGGCTCTACATCCCTTTCCAAGCTGACCATCCTCTGCTCTGGTCTGTAACTCACCGGCGGCTCTCGAAATTGTGGGACTGGTCTCCCCAAGTGGTCAGCTGCAGGAGAGCTGAAGCCAAAATCAGGTCCAGGGTGACGCTGTGCCCTCCAGCGTTCACTGTCTGATCGTCCAGGGTTTCCATACTGGTCCTGGGAGGAACTCTGATTCCCCAGAGCATTGGGATTATACAGGGGATAGGACATGGTTTTCAGTTTTCTTTAGGTTAGGGAGATCTATGGCCCCAGAATTGTGGACGAGGGTGTGTCAGAGATAAGCAAACTGTTTTTTGGATTTTCACTTTGACCCCAACAATGGGAGCATCAGTCTACCGATGCACAAAAACATCTTAACCAATAAGTAAACGCTCTTTTGGGGGAACAGCACGTCTTCAGCAGAAGGGAAGACAATGATCCAGTATCAAACAGCAGCTGAAAAGGTAAACAAACTAAAAAATGGAATGGGGCAGCTTCTTCAACCGGTGACATCCATCACTGGTGCGTCCTACGTTGTCGTCCTACTACTTTCACCTTCAGGTCTTCACTATTAAGAGAGAGCAGAGGAGGTAAAACATCACAAGAATTACAAAAAGAGAGAAATAAAATGTCAGCAGGTAAAAGAGAACATTCATTTCACACAAAACAGTTTGGAACAAGATAGAAAAACACTAAATTTACTGAAAACTGTCTAAAGAGGAATGAACTTCAAATTGACTCTAAATTACATTTTATCGATTTGATAAGACGACAAAAACTTTTTTAAAAAGCATGGCAACAGATAAACGGTTCCAGCAGAGACTGAGGTCCTGTTCAGACTCACTTCAGATCTTCTAGGGGTGCAGAAGACGTTGGACCCAGTGCTTCACTGGTTGATGCTGAACTCCAGTCTGGAAAAAGGTGATGAACAATCTGATTTAACAGACAAAAGAGATTAATACATGAAACCTCATCAATCCATTTTTCAAAAGTAGCTTCACAGCAGCAGAACATATGCTGGTTGGTCCACCGTCACGTCGCGAACGATGTTTCGTCAGACGTGGTCTTCCGTCACAGATCAGCTCCTTGAGACCTCAAGTCAAACTTGTGGCACCAACTCGTCGTCAAGTGAAGAAGCCGCAGACTGGTTCACGGTTTCAGCGTTCACGTTTGGCAGCATTTGGCTGAAGGTCATCAACTGTGGTAAAGGTTTGCCCAAATACACGCTGGTGAAGATTCTCAATAACATTTTGGACCGAGAAGAGAGATGGTTTGGGATGAAAGAAGCTATTTATGTAAAAAGAGAGAAACCATCTTTAAACAGAAGAGGGGGTCTCAGGTTTCAACTTTCAATAAAGCAGCTTTAGTCCTAATACCCAGCCATTTTCACTCCTATCAGAAATTTCATCCATGTCGTCACAGCGGCCCATCGGTGAGTCGGACTAAGACCCTAACGAACCCGTATTTTGAGGACTGATAGGGCAATCTGTATGTCCATCTAGAATAACTCAAATGTATAACTTGAACCCCACATTCTCTGTTCTTTGAATTGAGAAAGCTCCTCAGATGAGAAACGTCTTCTGCTACAAATAAAGAAATAAAGTCCAGTTGGTTTTTTTGGTCTTGAACTTTTTTGAATTAACCCAGCTATGCCAGCCTCTGTGCAGATTTTATACGTATGTGCTAATTTTTGACACGAATTTGTGAAATCTCTAAAGAAAAAAATAACAAATGACGGTGGAAGACCGTCTAATTGCTGGATTAATCACCACAGAAACATTGAAAGCCCTGCTTCCAGTGACAACTTCAGTGTGAAGCAGGATTTTCTGCAGTGACTGCACCAAAACAAGACTACAGAGTAAACTGGACATAAGAAAGATGCTCCAGTTTCACGGACACCCTTAAATGGGACCGTCTAGTCGCAGAGAAACAAGCTCAGGGTTCCCAGTCTGCGTTATGCGAGTTGCATTATATAAATTACAAAATAATAATATAAATTAAAGTGCAAAATATAAAATGGTTATATAAAATTATACATGGGGAGTGGTGGCGCAGAGGTTAGAGAAAGTGGGGCTGTGATCAGAAGGGGACCAACATCAAAACATGGGTGGGAAAGGTGAAACACCAACACCTGCCTCCACCCTCATTTCCCCCACTCTGAGCCCTTGAGCAAGGCCCTTAACCCCCACCATCTGCTCCACCGGGCGCCCTAGATGGCAGTTCCACACAGAGGGCTGTGGTAGCTCGGTGACCTGTGGTTGTGTCAGGAAGGACATCCGGAGTAAAAACAATCGCCAAGTCTTCGTGCGAGTTAGTTCGCTGTGGCGACCTCTGAAGAAGGAGCAGCCGAAAGAAGAAAACAATTTAAAAACTAGGGGTGCACCGATAAATCGGCTCCGATTTCCTTAATTTTGAGAAATCGTCCGATACTTGCATGAGAAACAATCTTTTTGTTTTAACAATAGTCTGAACTTCATTTATATTTCAGAGCATCGCCTCATGGCCAGTTAAACCAAGCTTGTATTGTTTTTTTAGGATATTGTTCGAGGGTATGATATTCAATAAAATAAGATTGGAAAATCGAAGGTGCGTTGTGATCTTAAAACACCTGACAGCGTCGCTTATAAAATAAAATGGGAGTCGGCAGGTCAGCCTGGTTAGAAATCGGTGATCGGCCATAAAACTGCAATCTGTGCACCCCTAAAAACAACATGTAATAATGAAATCATGCATGTGCGTGTGTTTTGTCCGCTGGTCCTTGAGGAAAATGTCTCGCATAAACCGGTTCTTGCTGCAAAAAAACAAGTTAGTGACCCTGATTTAAGCCATTTCTTTAAATGAGTCAAAATCCAATTTACACTGTTTATAACAGCAACCAACACATAGCACAACTAAAGGGGTGAAAACTTTTTACAAGCACTACTCAAGTTTATATAAACATGTAAATATAGTTTTGTAAACAAGAGGAATATCAAAGAGTTAGCTTAACCATTCATGCAAATACACATTTTGCAAACAAATTTCAACATTGTTTATGTTTTAATCTTGTATCAAGTCGTCCATCGTTGGAGCTCGTTCATAAGGAGCTAATTAATCAATAACAAAAACACGACAAGCACAAAACATTGATGTTGTTGAAAAAAAATGACAACGCGCTAGTTTATTTAATAATTATATATAAGCACTCCTTGTTTTAGTTTAGCCACAGATTTATGGCTAAACTAAAACACTGTGCTAGCACGGGAGCTAACGTTAGCTTCGTGGCGGAAGTTAGCGAAGCAGGCGGTTAAAAACAGTAAACGAGTCCGATCAATGCGGCTCCGGGTGCCGAAGCTTCGCTGTGCGTTTTCTGAAATAACCCTTTATTTAAACTGACAAACCGTTCGCTTTTCAACTTTACCTACAATTTTTTTTGGGAGGTGGTCTTCAACCAAGATCCGAGGGTCTTCTTCTTCTTCTTCTTCTTTTATGTTTAATGGCGGTTGGCAAACAACTTATAGGTGCATTACCGCCACCTTCCAGACTGGAGTATAGATTAGATGTCCTATCATTATATTCTCCCAAGATCCGAGGGTCAAACCAGAGCGAATCCTTAAATTCTGAATCGTTCGAATCTCTCGAGTCATTTTACTGAACCGGAAGTCAGGATTCTTCTTCTTTGGTTAGAACCAGAGCACGCTCCGTTAGCTTGGAAGCTAGCGTTGGTAGATGTTTATGAACCGACAGTACAAAAACTGTTAGCTGATAAGGACAGCGTTTATAAACATTTTACTTACACAACATGGACTCGGCAGCAAGCTGTTCTTTTCTTCCACGTCGAGTAAGTTGAATAAACATTGAATTACGTACTGCCATCTGCTGATGCGGAGTTTGAAGCACAGTTTGTTTCTAACAGGCGTAAAATACAAAATAATCTTTCACCCGCCGCAGAGGGCGAAAAGCAACAATGTTTTGTCTGTTCGTCTGTTGTGTTAGCAAAATATTACATGGTACTCAGAAAGTACTCATTGGGTGAACATGAACATGATCTTATTAACTTTTGGAGTCAGTTTAGTTGGCAACTTTCTCCTAAAATTTAAACTAAATTAAATAATTTACCACACTTTGGTAAACTGAAGCTGTCTGAACTTGTTTAAGCTGCTTTTTGTTCAATAAATTACAAAACTTTTTATTTAAAGTCACCAAATGACTGCTGAATTTTGCTGAAGAAGCTAAAACAGAGATACTAAAGCTAAAAGAAGCAGAACATTAGCTAAAAATGACAAGCTAAAATGTGCAAAACACAAACTAAAATATACAAAAGCAATATTAAAGTTAAAAACACAACAAGACTAGCTAAAAGCAGAAAAAATTCAAGTTAGAGGGGCAAACACTAGCTAAAAGTATTAAAAGGCTTGCCGAAAGCTGCAAGACCCTAGCTAAAATTAGCAAAAAGCTAGCTAAAGAAGCAAAACTAGCTAAAAGTATCAAAAGACTAGCTATAAAAAGCAACAAACTTGCTTAAAAGAGCAAAGCACTTGTTTAAAATGACATAACACTATCTAAAAGTATCAAAAAGCTAGCCAAAAGTTTCAAAACACTATCTAAAATCAGCAAAAAGCTAGCTAAAGAAGCAAAACTAGCTAAAAGTATCAAAAGGCTAGCTATAAAAAGCAACAAACTTGCTTAAAAGAGCAAAACACTTGTTTAAAATGACAAAGCACTAGCTATAAGTATTAAAAGGCTTGCCAAAAGTTGAAAAAACTAGCTAAAGAAGCAAAACTAGCTAAAAGTATCAAAAGGCAAGCTATAAAAAGCAACAAACTTGCTTAAAAGAGCAAAGCACTTGTTTAAAATGACAAAACACTAGCTAAAAGTAGCAAAAAGCTAGCCAAGAGTTTCAAAACACTAGCTAAAATTAGCAAAAAGCTAGCTAAAGCAGCAAAACTAGCTAAAAGTATCAAAAGGCAAGCTATAAAAAGCAACAAACTTGCTTAAAAGAGCAAAACACTTGTTTAAAATGACAAAGCACTAGCTAAAAGTATTAAAAGGCTAGCCAAAAGTTGAAAAAACTAGCTAAAGGAGCAAAACTAGCTAAAAATATGAAAAGGCAAGCTATAAAATGCAACACACTTGCTTAAAAGAGCAAAACACTTGTTTAAAATGACAAAACACTATCTAAAAGTATCAAAAGGTTATTCAAAAATAACAGTACTTTTTATAATGAGCAAAAAGCCAGCTAAAGGAGAAAAACACTAGCTAAAAGTTTTAAAACCCTAGCTAAAATAAGTTTTGTGTCACAACAAATGCTCCATTTCTTAACTGACATTAAAGGAATTTCAAAATACAGAAACTTCAATGACAAAATCCAGACCAGTTACCGAACCAATGTATTAGTTATTTTAGGGAATTACTCGCTGTCTTAGTTCTAAGTTACATAAGTCTTGGCCCTCATTAAGTCCCAATAATGAATATTTTGATTTGTAGAGAAAATATTTCTGTGGGGTTACCGTTTAAATTTCCAACACTTTCTTCCTAAAGTTAACCATCTTCCTGCAAACACTGTTTTAATGACTGCAGCCAAGTGGGTCAGGGTTATTAATAGAGGCGCAACAGAACTCCCCGCATGCCTTAATCCAGCCTGTGTCGACTTGTAGACATGACCAGTTGTTCTCGTCTGGACCCAGCGTTCTTCGGTTCGGTTTCTGCTCGTCGCCTGTCGGTGCAAACACTTTAAAGTCCACATCTGAGATTTTACGGTCAGTGACCAGAGAACGAAGAACCGAGCCTAAAGAAGTCATAAATTCAACTGTTTTCTTTGTTCTCCCTTAAAACCTTCTTTCCTCCTGAGCACGAGATTGGGCTTAAATCAGTCACATGGTTCTAGAACTGCGCCGCTCCAGGTGGCTGCATGTTGGAGCAGCTCTGTTACTTTCATTCTGAGATTTTGCTTTCGAAAACTTTAATTCCTCTTTTTCTGGATGTAAATCACTTTTTTTATGATAATTTTGTCTGGTGTCGAGTGTTGTGCAGCTGGAAGGATTTTTACTGAAACCTTTTTACTCTTGGACGTTTGTTATGATGCGTAACCATGGCAACAATGTGTTTTTTTTTTTTTACAACTGGGAGCAGCCGATTAACATCTCAAAGCTCAAATAATATCTCAGCTACAGCCCCAAATCCCAAACGAATTGTAAAGGAGACGCTGTGGATGCATCTCCGTCTACCTGGTGGCGGTGCTTGAGTACTTGATTGCCGAAATCCCGGAGCTGGCGAGAAACACTGCTCGTGACAACAAGAAGACCAGGATCATCCCCTGACACCTGCATTTGGCTGTCTGTAATGATGAGGAGCTCAACAAGCTGCTGAGAGGAGTGACCATCTCCCTGGGAGAAGTTCTGCCCAACATTCAGGTGGTCCTGCTGCCCAGGAGGTCCGAGAGGCCCACCAAGTCCAAGCTCAACATCTGTGGCCAGTTTCTTCAGATCTGCTGTAAGACAGACCACCACAAGAGATCCTTCCT